AGCTTCGTTTTCGATCCCAATCGAGAAGCCATTAATTCCTGCACCTCGTTCCTTGCGGCAAACAGCGTCTGACTCGCTCCCAGATCTTCTTCGGCGTCGGCTCTCCGTTTCTCAAGGGCTCAAGTGATCCTGCTGCGTGCAGATGATCATTCATCCCTGCGAACAACAACTCGGGCTCACACGGCTTTTCTGACTTCGTTGCCACAACCAGAGTCAACAGATTGATTGAGCTCCGCCCCTGGCAGCAGGTACACCAACGTTTATGGCCAAAACATTTTTGGAGACGTTCAATCGAAGTCCGAGCCCGCCACAATTATCACCCTCGCTGCTCCAGGGTCTGAGCGATCATAGACTGCCAGAGTTTTGGCCAGCTGGAGGTTCCATAGGATTTTTCGTAACTGGGATCTTCCGACAATTTTGAGCCCATATAAGCAGTATCGGGGATCCCATGCTTTTCGGCTCAAGAAGCTTCTCCACGGCTCTTAACTGAGCGGGAATCTCCATCCTAATTCTGACAATGCTCGTGCGATGCTTCGGTGGTTCCAAGATGAGACCTGGGCTTCCCAACTCCTTGAGAGGCCGGTAGTTGACGGGACCGAAGATCGATTTCGTGGGAATACCAGTTAGGTCCGTCGTTTCCAAAGTTTTATCTCGAGAAAAATGAGCTTCACGCGCCTTCAGCCAATCTGCGCAATATTGGCTGCTCAAAGCTTCGTGCGACAGAATCCTGAGCCCCAAGACCTCCATCAGCTCCCACCTGCAGGCCACATCCTCGAGGTCCAGATTGTTCACTCCCTCCAAGTACCTGGCTTTGCTTGACTCTCCAGGGCCTCCTGCCGATGCCTTGACTTTCTGATTCCACCACCACGACTGACAACACCACTGAGCTTTGTGGCGTGGAAGACCCCATCTCATTTCTCTCCATGGGTGTCGAGCCCAGATGCCTGCTCCTGCTGCTCTCCTGCTTCTTTAAGGCTGTTGGCCCGGATTTCTAATAACGATATGCCATTGCTTCTTGCTCAAGAAATCTCACTTGTCAAACACTGAAGAAATACTTTACCTAGATTAATACTAAAGGAATACCTTGCCCTGTCAAACACTCGAGAAGTACCATGCCCAGATAAACACTAGACAAAATCCTTCCTCCGGTACCAATTGTGGAATACTGGCAGATGTTGTTGCTACTGTTCTCGTGGACTTCAGTCCAGTTGACGTTTTCTTTTTTCTTTTACGATTCAAAATCGATCTGAAAACAAAGCTGAATTTTAGACCAAGAATATCTTGCTCATGGCCAACCTAAATCTCCCCCCTTTGCACCTTTAAAACATTATTCAAACAATTTCTGATAAAATGATTCTTTTAGGTATTTAAAATCATTCAGGTCCATTTATGTTTTAGCACCAAACGATTTAGATGCAAATTCTGTTTTGATTGTCATGCCAGTTATACTAAAACCTATTTTCCTGTCGCGTGACTCCCTTTTACCGAGCTCCAGACCCTCGTGCCACCAACTTGAGACCATCGTGTCCACCCGAAACTCAGGCGATGCTTGAGTAGTGTTTCCTGTGTAGATGTACCATTATCTCTGTTTCCGCAAAGACCACGTGCAGGACGGCGTATAGTTCCCTAGTGTTCCATCTGCCCCTATTCGGATAGTACACTGGCATTTAAACCTCTTTATTCCTCTTTACACCAGGAAGTCCCTCAATCGTGTCAATGCCAATATCACGTGCTCGGGATCTATCACGAATCTCAGTGACTCTAGTCACCAAAAACATAGGTACTTGCCAGGAACCTGTGAAACTGAGGGAGGAAATGCCGCCAGTCCTCTCAATACTGGTCTCTGCCTGAACAGAAACTCGAAAGCTGCTTCCAATCTAGTGTTGAAACTTATATTCGCTGTTATGCAGGTTGCGCTGGTCCTATCTGACAAGATGAAGTCATTTGGTATCTCGAACTTGGTCTTGAATTTCCTCCAATGGTAGGCTCGACTTCTTCTTGGTCTAGCTCCAGTCCGTTTATCTCTCTCACTCTCTGAGTTTCTTTATAATTAAACTTTCGGTGTGGGTAAGTCCTACCGCCACTCCCTGGACAAAAATATTTATCGACGTCCCCGTCGATGGTGCTGGACTCAAGTTGTCAAGTGGTGTGTCCAATGGTCGGTCTGTCGCCGAACAACGAGTTTCTTCCTTTTACATGCTTCCCTGCTGATATAACGACTTGTTGGATACTTTGCGTTTCTTTCTCTTCAGCCTGCAGATCAAGCATTGACTCTAGAATCCTCAAGTTTGTATTCTCTCTTCTTTCTATCTCGCTTTGTTCTAGATATACTTCTTTTTCTGGAACGGTGTGGTCCTCCTGCTACGAGTGCTCACTGTCGTTGATGATTTGCTACTCTTCATCTGCCACTAGGTCGCCCATGTTCACCATCTCTGCTCCTAGCTCTTCTGGCTCTATTTTGTCAATCAAGAAGTCATCGCCATAACTGTTGTGACTCATACTTGTCTTCTTGCGCCCGCCCCTTCTTGTTTCCCCCGACATGGGCAGATCTGGTTCTGTCCATTTTGGCAGCTCATTCTGCTTGTTCGTTCCAGTCCTCCATCCTTCATCCGAGCCTACCTCTATTTTCTCATGTTCTCGTTGCCATCATGTTCTCATCCATACTCCTGTTCTCGTTGCCATCATTTTTCTCCCTGGTGCCTTTCTCATCTACCTCGCACCCAGTCCTTCCATGTTTTGCGGCACGTAACAGTCTTCCGGTAACTGGACGCGAGGTTTCAAATTTTCATAGTGCGCCGCAAGCACGCCCTGTGCTCAAGCGGTAGAACCGACGCTGCTGGTACACTTCTGTTATCATGAACGGGCCTCTCTATTTCTTTAGTAGCTTTTTCGTTCTTTTTGAAGATATGACATTTTGGAACACCCAGGCATATAGTCCCACAGCATATCGTTTCGCTTGAAGTATTTTCTCGTCATACTTCCTCCGCTATATCATCTGTTCTTGGGCTCTATTCCTTCTGCATAGTTCGTTCAAATCCTGTTGTCTCTTGAACCGCTTCCTTTGCGTATGCTTGAGGTGATGTCTTCTGCCCTTCATGTTCTGGGTAGAAGAACGCCAGGAGCATTACTGTCTCCCTGACTCTTAGCATCATCAAAGGACTGATCCCCGTTGTTGAGTGTTGTGTGCTTTTGTACACTCCCACCACTTGCGGCAAAATTTTGTCCCAGTCGGTCATATAACCCGAGCAAGGTTTCCCTGAGCAAATTTACTAGCGTTCTATTTTGTCTTTCTACTAGTCCATTCGTCTGTGGATGGTAGGTCGTCGAGTGTGCTTGTGCAATGTGTGATCTTCTCATGAGTTCTTTTGTCATATCTCCAACAAAGGCTTTCCCGTTATCTGACTGGAAGGTCTTCGGACAACCATACGGTGATATCCAGTGCGTGATCAAGTGGTCTCAAGTTTCTTCAGCCGAGGGCGTCTGACATGGTACTGCTTCCGCCAGTTTTGGTGAAGTGATTTATGATTACTCGTAATTGGTTAAATCCTGAATCTGTCATGCAGATCTTTTTGTGATCTATCTGCACAACCTCATTGAATTCTGAGCTTTCCACCAATTTGAATAGGAACTTTATCTTCCTTGGGTCTTTCACTTGCAAACACGACAAGCGTGCGTTCACCCATCTTTCACAAGCTTTCCTCAACCCTGTCCAGTAAATTGGTGTAATATTCTTTATTGCACCTTGTGCGATCTAAATAACACCTATTTTTGATAAAGCTGCGGTAATATGATGAGATTATGCTTGTGCAGCATTTTTTCTTCATCTATTCTCCTGCAGGTCACCACACCGTCAGCTCAGTGGTATATTAAGACCTTACCTTCCTTGTAGAACTGGCTCAAAATCTTGTAGCTGTACTCGTCCAGATCTCCTTTTACTTTTACTCACGTTCGGATTCATTAGGAGAGGTTGTTTGTCTTTTGTTGTTTTTATGAGCTCGTATCAGGTCCGATAGCCTGTACTCCGCCTTGACAAGCTCCTTTAGTGCCATCATTTGTCCGTTCAGCTCTCCCGGATTGTGTATATCGTCCTTAAGCTTGACGCATAATATCCCTCTCAAGACCTCCCTGTCACCCTCCGGCTCCAGATTCGTCCTGATGTTTGAGTTGCATGATAGCTCCCTGAAAGGTTTTCTTGATACCGCTAACATCTTTAGCTCTTCTCCTCCGGTCACGTTACGATGCTTCAAGTTGTATGTCCAGGGCGAGGAATCAGATTGTTGTGATACTTTCTTTTTTCTTCAGCTACTATCATGCAGAGACTGTCTTGTTCACCCTAACTTTCCGCTGAACCTGTTTCCCATTCTTCTACTTCCCGGAAAAAATTTCCTCGTCACCACGGGTTTGTCATCGGTAGTTTCTCAAGCAATCGTTTTAGCTGCTGCCTTACCGTCGCCTTCCCTGTGTCGACTTCGTCGAGGTCGTAACCTTCCGCCTTCAGCGTCTCTCTGACTATCTTTGACTTGAGCATGATTTCTACGGGGTTGGGCGGGATTTTCCATTCAAAATCGCTGTTTCCCGATGCTCAGTGGGTAATTCAGGGTGATCTTCTATCGGTTTGCCAATTTTGTCGAGCCATCTCGTGAGCGGTAGGCCAACGTACGTTTCCCTGTACATGAATGAAAAACCATCTTTTATCTCGGGCCTATCAGCCTCCTTCTGCTCCTGCCTCTCGTAGAATTCCGTTTTCTTACTCAAGCTGTCGGCATTTTGGCGTTTGTCTCTCGTCCTATGTTCAATTATCATATTGTAACCATCCAGCCATACTATCCATCTCCCGATGTAGCTTTGATCCGTCGAGTACGTCTTCAACCAACTGAGTGCCTTGTTGTCGACCCGTTGTTTGAAAGGCTCGCTGCCTAGATACGCCCTGTTATTTTCCACAAAGGTGAGAACCGCAAACATCTCCGCTTTGGGTGCCCCGTACTATATTTCGGTGTCGCTCAAGACTTGCTTCCGTAGGCTATTGGTCTAAAGACAGTCTTCCTGTTCCACTCCTGTTCTTGATGGAGTATGCCAGAGATCGCGATTACTGATGCCACTGTGTCCAGTACGTACATTCCCTTCTCTGTAGGCATGCCTAGCACAGGTGCTTCACATAATTCTCTTTTTATTCTTTGAATTGATTCTTCCGCCGCGTTATTCCACGTAAAATTCTTGCCCTTATGCCTCATGAGCTGTTGCATCGGATGCACTTTGTCCGCATAACCCTTGATGAACTCTCTGTAGTAGTTGGCGTAACCAAGAAAGCTCATCAGCTGATGCTCAGTTTTTGGCGACTTCCAAGTCAACACTGCTTTTACCGCATCTGGGTCTGGTCGGATGCCATGTTTATCTACCATCCTCCCCCGGTATTTTATCGAGTCCTTTAGAAATCCATATTTCGGGGGTTTACATTTTAATCCGGCCCCTTTCATTCATGCAAATACTCCGTCCAGTCGCTCGATGTGGTCCTCCAGGGTAGGTGTTGCAATCACCACGTCGTCCACGTAACTTATCACCAAGTTGCAATACTTCTCCGTCACACTTGTTAGTGCCTGTGCCATTCGTCGCTGAAACGTGGCTTTCGCGTTCCAAAAGCCAAAAGGCATCGTTTTCCATTGGAACAATCCCAGCTCGCAAGCAAACCCCGTTTTGTCCCTATCGTGTTTCCTAAGTGGCACCTGCCAAAAAGCTGACCCCAGATCAAGATTTTTCATCCCCCTATTTCGAAAGACTCTCATCTAGACTAGGTTTAGGATAGGCATCCTTCACTGTGACGAAGTTCAGATATCGAAAGTCACAACAAAACCTAACTTGGTCTCCTTTCTTTTTGGCCATCTGCCCTCCACATGCCCAGGTTGATTTGGATGGTTCTATCGTATCATACTCTAGTTAAGTTTCTATCTCCTTTCTAAATGACTCGGGCTTGTTTGGGGTCATGCGCCTCGCCCCCTCCCTATACGGTACTGCCGACTCTTCTAGCTCTGTTTCATGTTCAACGAAATTACAGCACCAGAGCTGTTCGTCTGTTACTTCAAGCTGTTCGTCTGTTACATTCCCCCTTAACTGTTCAACTTCTGGCAATACCGGTTTAACCATTTCTAAATCCTCCGGGGTGGGTTTTTTTGGAAAATTCTAACAGCTCGAAAGTCCATCGTCCGTTTCTGACTTAAGTGAAATCATAAGACCAAACCTGCTATTGCGGCGTCGTTCGCCTTCAACCTCACCCTTCTACTCAAGTAATTAGGAGCTTTTTTTTATTCGCCATTATCAAATTTACCGGTTTAACTACGTAATTACGTACTTCCTTTCCGGATATCGAATTCTGAACATCGCATTGTTCAGATCAATCGTTACATCAAAATTTCTGATGAAATCTTTGCCTAAAATCAATTGATATGACTTATCTAGATTCTCCACTACCAAAAAACTCATTAACATGTTGCGTTCCCCCAGATTCAGAGCTAATATCGGTGTCCTGCCTAGAACCCTCAATGCTCCCTTTTATCGCTGACAGCCGTAACCTTGAATCTATGGTATTCCTTGTCAAATCTCATTCTTCATCTCGTTTCTGTTGGTATCACACTCAAGGCAGCCCCTGTATCCAACAGCCCTCGTAATTTGGTCTTCTTTCCGCTTATGTCTAGTAAAGGTGCGGATACGTCTACTTCTGCTCCCAGATGCATGGCATCCTTCCTCTTCTAGCATGGCGCAGTCTCCAATCGACCTCAACTTGAGTTCCTCTCGAATATGTAGATTTGACCGGCAAGATCCTCGTCACATACGTTATCATCGTCTTTGTGTAGATAATGATTCCATCTATGTTCAACATGACATCATGTGGACCATAGGCTACTGTGTACCTGCTGTCTATTGCAGTCGATTTTCCACCATCTCTCGTGAATAATGCTCTAAGTGCTGTCGAAGGAGTTTGTGGGTGGATCGTGCGCAGATAGTCAGCATATACATCTATATGCATCAATGTTTGATTGCTTGGTTCACTCAGATTCTGCGTTACTTAATGTACGCCAACCGTGATAATGGACAGGATCCTCTCACCAATCTTCGTAATTCCGAAGAGTTTCCCAATCACCATTTTCAAGGTGTTGCAATTGCTCCTGACTGTTGGATTGTCCCTCGTCTCTGGTTCTGGTCTTACCATCGAGATTGTCTCGTTCCTCTGTTGTCTTTCTAATTCCTGTTTCAGACCTTGTTCGATCTCTTTTGTCGGCAAGTCTTGTTTCACTTTGTTAAGGACCTCCGCTGCTGCTTTCTCGTAGTTTATTCCAAGTGAAATTCTTGACTCAGCTCCTCCAGCATCTCTCTCTTGGGTCATGGCCTTCATCGATTTTGTCGTTAACTCGCCACTTGTCACCTCCATGTTCTGCAAGTCGTTCTCAGCTTGTCTATTCCTGGTATTCTGCACCATGGCAAGTGCTAACTTGTGTTTTGGGTAATTTTGATTCATAACTGCTTCCCAAAACAGAGAATAGTCCAGCCACTGTAAAACTCGTGCTCTTCCACGTGACACACGTCCTCTTCATCAGGCGTATATTCCAAGCTTTTCATGCCTTGCTTGTATGTGGTGCAATTCGCTACATGGTGATCTGCCGAGCCACAATTTGCACATGACCTTCGTTTGTTCATATCATCTCTTGGCTTATATCATGACGATTTTTGTTGATGGATTCCCCCTTACAGGTTCCTACTGTCTGAAAATGAGTATTTCCTCGGTTTCATCAACTTGTACTCTCTAGACTTCTGTCTCATCTCTTTCAATGTTGGTGCATTATCTTTCGATAGCGTGAAGTATGTTGCCAATATTGTTTTCAAGTCGTCACTTTTCACCCCATCATAGAGTTCCGAAGCGATGCTAAAATTTCTCCTATTAGTTGATTCATCTGGATCACTTCTTCGTCTTAAGCTCTCCAGTTTATCAAAGAATCGATCAATCGATTCATCATCTCTCTGTCTCCTCTTCTCAAACCTCATCATGGCCTTGTGCCCCTTCATCCCGGATCCGAATCGGTTCAGCAGAATTTCAAAGATCTTGTCCGCGCTGTCACGTTCTTCTTCGTTCTTGGCTGCCACGCACTTCATTGCCGTGCCCTCCTGATTGCTTAGTATCGCTGTGCACGCCTGTTTTTCATCATTCAAGTTGTCTTGTTCAAGATGTAGTCTCACCACATCAACCCAGGTATCTATGCAACCATCCGAGTCATCTTCAAATTCTTTCGGCTTCTTGAAAGATTTTCTCGATTTACCTCCTCCTCTATCTCTCGACTCTTTGTTTCATGTTGCGAATGCTTCAAATGTCCTGTCATCATTTCCCAAGTATTTGTCGATTCCTGCTTTTTACGTTGAGGTTCAACCCTTGTTCCGGTTAACTTTTCTGTTTTTGTCTGGTATCGTTTTTTCTTGAGCAATAGAGTTTCTCAAGAGTGCATCCAAATTGGATTGTATGGCACAAGAACTATCTGCCTAGTCTCTGCTCATTGTGTCCATTCTCGTCTCTAGATTCCATAGTTTATCGGTTACGGTCTCAGACCGCCTTTTCATTTCCTCCTGATCTTTCTTGATATGTTTTTCTTGCTCCTTGTCTGTTGTCTCCATCTTTTTTGCCATCTGCTGCAGCTTTTTTTCAGTGGCCCTCGCTAAGTTGAAGCAGTTGTCCAGATTTTCTTTTTTTTGTGTCTAAGTTCTTTCTCTGATTCCTGGCGGTCCTCTTCGCTGCACTTCAGCTTCTTGTCTATCAGATCCAACTTTGACATCAAGTCCTCTAACTCCACTAGTGATAATTTCGATTCCGCTGCTTGCCCATTTTGGTGACCCACTGCTCCCTCCATGGTTTGCTCTTTCCCCTGGTCAGCGTATCGTGGAAACTGTACCAAAGGAGTGCCTTTTTCGGTCGTTGTTGTCACCTCCTCTTTCTCTCTCGGTTTGGTTCCAACCATCGCCGCAAGTTTCTCCCTGAACGATGTTCTCTTCATTTGCGAATCTTCCCTTTTCGTCTCCGGCCTGTTGTTAGTGATTCCGTCTCCATTGCCTATTGGTGAGAACTCAATTGTCTTTGTTCCTTGATCTTCTACATTCGGCATAGGTGTCGATTCTGTCGTTTTTTGTTCCACTCCATCTCAGCTCTTTTCTGACGTCTCAAGATCAATTTCCGTTATAAGCATATTCTTTTGATTAGTTTGCTTTACTTCGGCCTTCTGCCCCTTGTTGCTTCTGGTGTTGACCATGTTAAGTGAAATAACTTTTCTAATTACTCTGTTTTGTAGGTGTTAGTTTCCTTTGCGTTGACTTTTGGTTTTGCTTAAGTCCCACCCCTCTCCTTTCCGGTAACGTAACGACACTCTTGTTCATTTCATGACGTTTATTTACAATTTTAGTTTATTTACAACTTCTAACTATGTACAGTTGTTAATGTAAAAATGTAGATCGAAGTTTAAGAAAACCCCAAAGCTCTTAAATAATAAAACTTGTTAAACCAACTTCAGTTAACATCTATTCCACAATCCGAATTATAGTTTGCTAATCCTAGTGTGTTGTTCCCGTTCCCCTTAAGCTATTTATTGACCCTTAATGGTTTTGTAGTCCTTGTCCTAAGTTTTGATATACTAAACCTATTGTCCCAGGAGTTTTAGGTGTTGGGATACCCGTTTTACTACCCCAATACTCCAGGTACTGGAAGACTTATTTCACTATCCCAGGACTTCAGGTGTTGGCATACTTAATCCACTATCCCAGGCTTTTAGGTGTTGAGAGACTTAATTTACTATCCCAAGACTTTAGGTGTTGGACCCTTAATTCACTATCCCAGAACTCTAGGTGGTGGAGCCTTAATTCACTATCCCAGGACTCTAGCTGTTGGGACCCTTAAATCGCTCTCCCAGGACAAGTGTTGGGAACTTTAAATAACTATCTCAGAACTCAAGTGTTGGGACTTTGAAATTTTTATCCCAGAACTCAAGTGTTGGGACCCTTAAATCAGTATCCCGGGACTCAAGTGTTGGGGACCAAAAATCAGTATCCCAGGACTCAAGTGTTGGGAACGCTAAATCACTATCCCAGGACCCAAGTGTTGGGACCCTTGAATCACTATCCCAGGACTCAAGTGATGGGACCCTTAAATCAGTATCTCGGGACTCAAGTGTTGGGACCCTTGAATCAGTATCCCAGGACTCAAGTGTTGGGAACCTTAAATCAGTATCCCAGGACTCAAGTGTTAGGACTCTCAAAGCACTATCCCAGGCTTTTAGGTGTTGGGTACTTAATTTACTATCCCAATTCTTTAGGTGTTGGACCCTTACGTCACTATCCCAGGACCCTAGGTGTTGGACCCCTAACTCACTTTCCC